CTCTCTCTCTCTCTTTCTCCCTCTGACCCTCCCCCTCCTCGTACTCTGTTCCTCTGTTTCATTCTTATCTTTGGTCACGTGGTCAAGTCTTCCCCATCCCTTAAAACTGCTTAGAGGTCATCTCCTTGAAGCTTCCCTGAATCCTCTGTAAGGGTAAGTGCCTCCTTCTGGTTTTCCCATAGCACACGGAACATCTTTTTAACATGATAAAATATTGTCTTGAAATTATTTGGTTGTCCCAATCTTCCCCGACAAAGTTTGTGAAGTTCGTGAAGGGGTTGGATAGGATCATTGTCTAAACTCTTCCACACTTAATCACCATTTGGAATACGGTACTAGGTCAATAATATGGGCAGAATTATGTATTGAATTTTATCTGTATAAATACAATTTATAGGTGAGCAAGTCATATACCTCTACTCCTCAGTGAAGAAGAAAGGCCATTGTTGTATCTTAGCGACCCTGAGAAAGTATGCAGCACATAATACACCCAAGTGAAAAAAATTATTATACTGGAGGATAGAATTGTGTTAAATTTAGTTCATTGAAACAGAACACGTTGGGGCAGTGAATCTTTGGGAAATGACTGGAGAAACAGATCAGATAGCAAGGAGGTGTCTTTGGGCTTACAGTTGTTTGGCCACAACAATGAAGCACGTGAAGAACCCAGCTGTGATCCAACCAAAGTATAATATCAGGCGTCCGGCTGAACCACCAAGTCTCTGGAACGCCTCAAATTACTGTCATTATAAAAAGGAAAGTCACGTGTATATAAGGTAAACACAAATCAGGGATAGAGCAACTGGTGGTCTGACCAACTGCACCTTTGGAGGAGGGATGGGGGCGTGGTTTGGAGGGATGCTGTAGCAGAGAGCAGTGCCCCCAGTCATTGCCCCTTAGCCTTCACCTCTACCTACAGAATCCTGTTTACTGGGAATACCCACAAGTCTGTGCCCGAAGACTTTCTTGGATCACGAGAGCATGGGGTGCCTGTACACAGAACAAGTCCCAAGCGCCAGAGAGTTAGTGCCCTCGAAATAGTCCTCAACCAGTGAGCAATAGGAACCTGGTGTATACATACCCCGGCTTCCCAATCCCTTGACTGGATAATTCTGGGGTTATACACTGTTTCCTACAATTACCCACAATAGTAACTGACTTAATGACGCTGTCTTTTTGGCTTCCTTTCCTTCCCTAGATAACTTCCCCAATCCTCCTGGGTTTCCAAGACCATATTGTAAAGAAACGACTTGCTTTCGAATTCTTATTTCAGGGTCTGTTCTGGGGGAGTCCAAATCAAGGTAGGTGTGTATAGTGGGCAAAGGATGAGCAAAAAGGGATGACTGTGAGAAAAAAGTAGAAGTTTCTAGCTGAAGACATGTTTGACAACTCCAAATCTCTTGTTGCTCCCACTGATATAGTCACAGCCCAAGTAAACACCCTTGTGAATCTGCTATGCTTGCCACATTCTCCAGTGTGAGGACAGAAATGCTGCTAAGAAACAAAGCATCACCCCTCAATTATTTTTTACTGAACAGCATGAATTTTAACTTCAAAGTTCCATTTTTCCTTTGTTTTTTTAGGGGACATTGTTGATGTCCTACCCAGATCCACTCAGATCACTTGTACCAGCTCTGAGTGCATTCCTGCTAATGACTTGCACCTATGGCCTTCAAAGATTTGCCCTTTAGCACAGGGGCCTAGATATGCTTTGGAGTGTGTCTCCTCTGACCCCCATGGTTGGAGTTATCAAATAAAATACAGAACTTTCAGTTAAATTTTAATTTCAGATAAACAATGAATACTTTTTAGTATAAAAATATACTAATACTTATAGAGTATATAAACGAAAGTATTATTTCATGGGAGTTAACTTATTTAATTACTTATTTTGAAAAGATTTTATTTATTTGACATAGAGAGAGCTAGCACTAACAGGGGGAGCAGCAGGCAGAGGGAGAGGGAGAAGCAGGCTTCCCATAGAGCAGGGAGCCTGATGCGGGGCTCGACCCCAGGACCCTGCAATCGTGACCTGAGCTGAAGGTAGCCACTGAACCGACAGAGCCACCCAGGCACTCCAGATGTCACTTTTTTAAAAAGTAGTTTATCTGAAATTTAGGTTTACCTGGGCATCCATCCTGTACATTTAGTCACTAAATCTGGAAACCCTCTCCACAAGAATCCACAGTCAATGGCTAATTGGTATAGGAGTGCAATGGTCCAGCTCCTCGAAATGGAAAAACTCAGAGACACAATTTAGGATCCAGAATCCCTTGTAGGATCAAGCTGAGTTTTCACATTCCGACCTCATCTGAGATGGCACATTGCTTGGGTTCTTTCCTTTCTTTATTCTGCTTCCATTCCTCCTATACTGGTTTCTCCTGGAATCATTTCATTAATAAACCACTCACAAATCCTTGTCTGAGGGTATGGTTCTGGGTGAGCATGACTTCAGGCAGATATCTCACAAATCAGACCACATTAACAACTCATCACAATGTAAAAGGGATTAGGTATCCCTGCCCTGAAGAGCATTCTGTTTAACAACTATAGCTTAATGCATATTCTTTTTATTTTTTCAAAAGTCTCCTATGCCTCATTTGTCAAGTCCCTAGCAACAAGGGAAGAACAATTTGCCATGTTCTTCTGGGAGGCTGCTGGGCCTTGCCTAACCCATTCATACTGCTTTCCAACTGCTGAAAAGAAAGTCAACCAGGCATCTGGTAAAACATTGTTTCCACTCTGGTAAGATAAGAGTTTCAAACAAGAATGCCCAGGGCCAGCTGCTCCTGAAAAAGAGCAATGAACCATGAAAAAGTAGGCATTATGGAGGGGAAAGGGGAATTCATTGCTAAACTGGGTCAGGTACGAGACCAAAGAGACTGGGCTCTTAGACTTTCTTTAGAGAAATTTGCTGTTCCATCTTCGAAAATGAGTTACCGGGGAGAAGGCAGTTTTGCTTGCAAAACCTAAGGAGAAAAGAAAGTCTGCCAGTTTTGCTATTTGCCTTTGCAGAATTACTGCAGCTTCAAGCAAACAAAAAGGAGCTAACGTCTTTTGGTGATGAGAGTTGAGAAAAGATGGGCTACTTCCTGCCCAACTTTCTAAGGAATAATTTGGGATGACGTAGCTCATCTCACTGTGGCAGTCCATTAATGAGTCATCACTTTGATAAATGCACGTTCTAGGAAAAGAACATTTTGCTCTACTGATCTCCCAAACAGCTGTTTTTTTCTCTTTCTTAATGGGAAAACATTGTTCTTGACATGCTGAAGCCAAACCAACCCTGACTACTACATTCTGATCTTCTAGAAACCACTTCAGGTTTAAAGATCAATCTATTTCGCCTCCTTTCAGTTTACAACAAGAACAAGAAAATCCTGGGTCAGTGCACCAGAAACACGTTCATATGGCTTTATAACTTAATGATTATTTATACCCAGCCGTGGATAACACCCAAGAAATAAACCCAGGCAGGTAGATTCTGGAAGAACAGCAAAAGCACTGTGATACTAGAGATCATGCCCCTTATTCTTGTTGAGTAACCTAAAGACTAATTAATTTAAAATGGAATAACCTGTTGGTTGAATCAAGAGATTTTTTTTACAAGTTTTTTTTTTTTTTAACAGGAATCCTATCTTTCCTCTTTTTATAGATATTGTCCTTCTGAAATGGTAGCTGTAATTCCAGAAGGGTAAGTGCTTTCCTGAATTTGTTACCAACATGGCTCATCCATGGAGTCCCCAAGAGGCTGGGCAAAAATAGCAACACTAACCTAGTTGCTTATCATCTCTAAATAATTTGGAGCGTGTCTGAGACTCAGGAGTTCAACAATAACCACAAACAAAAATGAGAATTTTATAGAAAGATTCTGTGGAAATTGGCATGAGGCTACCCTAAGGTCAGTCAAAGGAAACTATTTCAAAGACAAAAGCAACCAGGGTTTGAATTTCTTTTTTTTCTTATCATCGAAGAAGTATATCTATATTCTTGAAAATTTAAAAAATACTGAATATCATGACGATCTTCTGATAGTGGATGATAAAGGATTTATCTCCTACTTCCTTATTTTTTTTTCTGAGTGGTTTTACATAAAGGGCACTACTTTGAAACAATGCTATATAGAAAAAAGTAGCAGGTATGGAAAGTAACCATGGGGGGTGAAAATGAATAGTAAAAAGAGGGTCCTCTCTATGGGGATTTGGTGTTCCATATTCCAAAATGAATTAAAAGGGAGAATTCAATTCTGCTTGTGTAACCCAAGAAGGCTTCACTCCCTGGCTTTGCAGAATTACTGCAGCTCCAAGAAAAAAAAAAAAAGGTAGTTAACATTTGGACAAACCAGTGAAACATGAGGATAGATGTTTTTTTCTCCTCATGGCTTCTGATAATGTATTCATCACAAAAATAAGCCTTTGCTTATGCCCTGAGAGGATAAAGAAAATCCAGCCGGATATGAGATGACTATGCTCTTGGCTACCCTTTCATTTTCCTTTTCTTGACAAGGTGAAAACTCTGTGTATAGGAAATTCTCCACTGACCCCATTGTTAATGAGTTAGAAAAGGTGGAAATAGAAAGAAGTGGAATTTATGGAAATTCTCTGGAGCAGTTCAACTGATGAAATTATTATCAATTTTTTAAAAGCTGCAAGGAATATATATATCCCTCAGAGGTTTCTTTTTCAGAAACTTAAACAGAAAGATCACGAACTCAAGGAGCAGAATTTATTTTTCCTGTATATCTCCATTCGAACCGCAGCCTTAAGCACCAGAACATCAAGTCTCATCCTTACAGGTAACACAAAAGATTTTGAGAGCTGTAATTCCAGAAGGGTAAGTGCTTTCCATTTCAATTAAAAAAATATCCTCCTGTCTTTTCATATTATGTTGGGAGTCCTCCAAGATGTAATACTTTATAGGTACCTAGAAGCACCACTTGAATGGAAATACATTAATTTTCTTCTCAGGCTCTACCACTGCCTAATCTGTATGCGCCTTACCTGTCTGAACCAGGGACTGACTTTAAACTCCGAAAGTTCTGGCTGTCTAGGTCCAAGCTGTAGCTCCGCCCACTTTCCATTTTTGGAGTCATGATCTCTCCCCTGGTTGCTGATCTGAACTTGCTCAGAAGAAATCTGAAATTACATAAATAGGTCTATACTTAAAAAGTAACATAAGAGAAAAGGCATTTTAAGATATCCTTTCAAGAATACCGTTTCTTAAAAAAAAAAAACAAAATACCATTTCTAATATTTTCAACAGTAAATAATTCTTCAATAAAACGGCCTTTGGCCTGAGAGCTCCTGGGGTGTCCCCAGTGCCTCTGCAAGTACACTGTCAAGGGTGAGTATAGAGGAAGTTATCACATTGTCCCAAGGCCTTACCACTTGCTGGTAGACCAGGCCTCCATCCCCGCAAGGAAAAAGACCATCAGCTTTCGAACTCCCCACTGTCACCTGAGAATAGAGAAACATGGCCTGGGTTGAGCCTATGTTCAGGGATGCTAAGGACAGGGAGCCTGGACTCCCCTTGCTCAGAGAGGGGAGCTAAAATGATTCTCTGGGACAAACTGAGGTGGCCACAGATTAGCTTACAGCTCCGTGAGAATAGCAGCTCTGTCCTGCTGGTTTCCTGACAGCTCCCTGAGCTGAGAGTGATGCCTGGCACCCACGAGAACCCAATCAATTCTTGCGGAATGAATGACTAAACCCAGGTGGTGGAAACCATCTTTCTGTCTTTCGTGACATTTCTCCCCATGGGAGTGAAGTTTGAACAATGGAGTGTCTCATGTACGATGAGATCTGACTCTGTTGCCATTTTACTAAATTATTTAGAACTTGAGCAAAAATAGCTTTTCGGGAACCGAGATTTGAGTCATGATCCAAGTTACCGAATGCCCAAAACCTAGGGGTTTTCAAATATACTTTAATAAAGAACCAAAGCTATCTTCTTGTTGTGACGACATTGGGAAAAGCCAGTTCTTTTACCTTATATTCTAGTTTTCTAGGTGTACTCTAAAGGTAGGGGGACAATCTTAAGAAAAGCTGCCAAGATGCCTCTGTTTCAAAGATATATCAAGAGTGTCTTGTCAAAGTGTCAGAAGCTTCAATCTAATGGGAAAATTACATATTTTGGTGAAAATGACACTTAATATACTATTGGTCTGGGCTGCTCTGAGCCCCCTTACACGTGACCCCACATCCATTCTTCTACTTAAGCTGTTTGTTCCAAGTGGAATCACTCTTCCCCACGTTTGGCTATCCTGGATCCCTGCCCATCTTTCCAGGTCCTCATCTAGTCACACTTACAATTTGATGTCATTCCCAATGGCCTCTGTGACCTCCTGCCACTGATTAGCTAAGCTTCTTCTTTAAGATTTACTTAATTATTTATTGCATTATGATCTCTCTTGTAGGGAAGTAACACCTCATTTCCATTTAGAAAGACTTTCAGGTAGCTCATATTTTCATCTTACACTTTCCCAAACTTCCTCTATACAGATTAACTTTCCAGGCATGAACCTTTTCTACACAACTAGCTGTTACAGTTATTGAAGACAGTTCCATCAGATCTCAGTTCTGAGTTCCCCCAGGGCACGGTCCGGTGCTGTGACTGTTTTAAATTCAGAGCGCCTACACTTCATTGTGCTGGTGGATTACTTCTTGTCTCCCGGCTCCAAGTTCATCACTCTGTGACCTATGCAGCGAAGCCTGGGCTAGCATCTGCAAATTACGGCTCCTGCAAGCACTTGTGTGCTCTGCGTGGCTTGTTCAATCAAGCTGTTGATTGTTTTTGATGAGCCAGGCTAGAATTTCCATGCCAGAAATTGTAGCATGAAAAGAAAGAAAAAGAAAAAAATAAAGAAAAAAGCCACAGGTCCAGTGCTGAGGGAACTCACAGTTAAGTACGTCCTGGGACGACTGTAATGGGAATGAGGTTGAAAGGTAGGATTGGGTCATATAATGGAAATCTCTGAATGTCATGTTTTAAGGAGTTGGAATGAACTCTCAGTTTTTCTAAGAGGAGTGAGGGCGTGGTGTCAGACTACCAGGTAAGGAGGGATATGCAGGCACAAGGCCTTGTGGGAACGCTGAAGGGCGATGAATGAATTCAACCTGGGAGGAAGGACCCATCCGTGGGGTGGGATGTACAGTTGGTCACTCCAGGCTCTCTCTCACATTCATCCCCGCTAATTAATCAAGATGTGGTTAGTCACGAGTGTCCGAGCTACAGGACATTTAGGTTTCATTCCCACTCAGAGTTCGTGATTCAAAGAACAAAAACCAAACCAAACCAGACTTTCTCTGGAGCCAGAGAAAGGCTCAGATACTAGTAATCACTCATGCTGCTTCCCACTGAGAGAACAAAACACTGCTACCTAGAGAGAATCATGCACTGACTCAGCAGGTGTTAGAACCCTCACTACCTAAGCCACAAAACAGACCAACAGTTGCCTGAGAAAAAAAGACCAGCGAAATGCAGAGCTGGGAGGCAGAAGTTGGCCTTTTGGTCCTTTCCACCTGCATTTTTGGGGGTCTCTTTCCTCCCCTGAGGAAGCCCCTATACCTCTGGTTTCCTAGTGCCTCTCTGAATTGTTCTCCTCTATGTGTCTCCCGTTCTCATTTCTGGTACTTGAAACATATCTTTTCTGAATTAATGAGGTAGCCAAATGGGATTTCTTCCTTAAGGAAGCCCACATTTTAAACAGGGGACACTATGTTTTAAGCCCAATTAATCAGTCTTTCATTTGGTTATTTCCTGTATCAGCACTCAGGTTGCAGGTTGGTGGCGACATTCTACAGCCAAGCCAGTTGTCATGTCTTTATAGACAAGACCGGTCCTGACAGGAAAGCTTCTACCTCGAAGTAATGAGGACCATTCTGGGCAGGACCAGATATGTTAAATGAAATAAAAACTTTTACAGGTTCAGGTCCAAGGGGAAATTTAATTATCTAAGACCAAAAGTAAGTAAGACTGCATTTCCTGAGGGGAATGATAGGAGAACATTGCCTTGGTTGGGTATGATGACCTTCTCTGTGTCACTGAAATGATATCCAACTTGAAAAAACCATGGAGTCTTTATTTCAGAGGTTTCTGGAATAAAGATCAACTATTCCTTTGGAAAAGGTGTGTCTTACCCTTTTTTCCTGGGTCCATCACGACTGGCCTTTTGCCCGGAAGAAGGTGAAGTATCTGCCTTTTCTGGGTCCTGGCGGGATTGCTCTTGACTTTGTGTTTCTTCAGTTCCTCATTAAAAACAATCAGAAGTCAAATTTCCATACAAAATGGCCAGAAATGAGAGCAATTTTCTATTCTTCATTCACTTTCCTACGTTAGCATGGGACAAAGAAGTCTATAATAATTGGCGATGACATTGCCATCCTGTCTCCTAGTCACACAGTTATTTCTAATCTGCTGAGTGCTCTAGAGTTAGATGAAGATGATGATCAGGACTCATCTGTGGGAGGTTTGCTGAGGTAAGCTTTCTAGGGATGACTATGATGGAGGAAGGATGTATCACCCCCTCTACAGATATTTTTAGGGTAAAGGAGGCTGGGTTCATGAGAAATCAAAATCCCTAGAGACGGGATTATAGAAGCAATACCTGATTTCTGAGCACATAAACCAGATTTCCTGTGATGGTGAGCTGCTTGTCGACACCTCATGGCTTGAGGGAGTCTACATTCTGAAAGGGGCTGAGGTTTGGGTGGGGAAAGCAGCCAGAGCTAACTGCTTCACTCTAGCTCTACTCCATCCTATCCTCCTGTGGCATCAGAATTGATCTTACCCATGTGGGAAAGCCCGCCCTTGCTGGGGCCACACCTAAAAGTGACAGTGAAATCAGTCCCAAGTCTCCCAGCTCTACCTTCCGGACTTAAAAACAAGGGCATTTGTCTCTGGATATGAAAGATGAGACACCCTAGGAACTAAAGGGTATTCATTCCACCCCAGGCATTGTAACAACCAGAAACACCCCCTTTCATTTCTAAATGCTCCCCTGGCTTGAGGGAGGAGGGCACGGTGCACAGTGCCATCTCTTGGTTGAGAACCACTGGATTAGTAAAAGGAACATGTAAAAGATATTTTATGGAAATACATCGTGTTGAAAAAATGAAGGATTGCTTTCATAATGTGAATCATTTAGTTCATCTGTTATATGTTACTTTCTTAAATGTCTAGGAAAATACTGGAAATGCATTCAGGGAAAGAACTATCTATGATGAAGATAAATGCCTCCTTTGAAAATCACAGTGTGTCAGATATATGGAAAATCACTGTGGATTTTATTTTCTACTGACTTCCTCTTCCCTTGTATGAATTGCAGATTTATATTTCATGCTACTGAGTTTTGAAATGACCTAAGGGATTAGGAAATTCAACTATGTTCATTTGCAACATATATAGGGAAATTATGGAGCCCACCAAAATGAAGAGTAAGACAGTTTCGAAACCAAATAATTGCTTTAATTACCTGGACTTCTTCTTAAGATGGACTGTCGGACTACATCAGTACCCAGAACGTTGACTTGCTTGAACCGCTTTGCCTTTTCCTCAAAAAACCATTCACCAGTTATAATCCTTAGCTGTCTGCTCAAGGGAAAATGGAAGACCACTGAAATTGAGTTATTTAACCAAATCATTAACTCTCAAAAATCCCTAATTGAGTAAAAACTAGCCAGTCATTTACAAAGTCTATCTGAATGTCTTGAGTATTTCACAGTCATTACAATGGCTACTATTACTTGAATATATACTATATACCAGTTACTTGCTAATAGCTCTTCATACTTCATATGTTTTTATCCACATAACAACCCCATGTAAACATTATTATCCTTATTTTATAGATGAGGAAATTGACAGAGCAATAAAATGACATGTCTCATATCACATAGCTGGTAAGTAAGTAATAGAGCCAGGATCCCATCCCAAGCAGCCTGGTCTAGGGCTCAAATTGTTAACACTATATTCGTGGGCAAATACTCTTCAGTGGAAACCATGGGGAAAGAATGAAGGTTTTGAATTACAAAGGGACTAAAGTTAGAACTCTGCTTTAGAACGATACCTTGATGTAATATGATGACTGGCTTAGAATAAAGAGCAAAGGGAACAAAGAGACAGGTTTGGCCAGGGCAGTCATCTAGAAGAGAGATAAGACCCATGCTGGGGCAATGGCAAGACTTACAGAAATGAGATCAATTAAAAATATAGAAGTAGAAGGGCCTGCTTGGATTTCATAATCAACTGAATGTTGAAGGTGGAAAGGAAGGATCTTTGAACAACCACGTCCATTTTTAGAAGCCCTGCCTGCAATGACTACACAAACCCTTTACCCCAGTTGCACAGGCCTATTTACCATTCTCTGAACATGGCTTGTAGAAGTGTTGGTACAGCAGTGTTCAACTGCCACCATCTGAACACTTCCTCCCGAGGACCATAATGGGAATGAGGTTGAAAGGTAGGATTGGGTCATATAATGGAAATCTCTGAATGTCATGTTAAGGAGTTGGAATGAACTCTCAGTTTTTCTAAAGCTCAGGCTGGATGCATCTCTGGCTCATTATATGGACAAAGGAGAAACCAGACACAGGCCAATTAGTAAGTTATTGCAACAGATAGAATAGGAAATGATGAAGATGTCTATCAGGGATGGGGGCAAGGGGTGCAAAGAAAGATACAGATTCTTGGGTCACTGAGAATCAGCAAGATTGGTGACAAGTCATGGGGTGCCTGGGTGGCTCAGTGGGTTAAGCCTCTGCCTTCAGCTCAGGTCATGATCACAGGGTCCCAGGATCGAACCCCACATCGGGTTCTCTGCTCAGCAGGGAGCCTGCTTCCTCCTCTCTCTCTGCCTGCCTCTCTGCCTGCTTGGGATCTCTCTCTCTCTCTCTCTCCATCAAATAAATAAAAAATCTTAAAAAAAAAAAAAAGATTGGTGACAGGTCAGACATGGTGGCTGAAGAAAGCAGCTGAGAATCAACTAGAGGTTTCTAGCCCTAAGAATCATATGCATATGATTCAGTAACTAAGTGGACTTAAAAATTAATAATTGGATCCTAAATTTTAAAAAACCACCCCAGGAAAATATGTCAATATGTTCCTTACCAGCAATTATAAAAGACAAAATTAAATTATATATGAGGGGCACCTGGGTAGCTCAGTAGGTTAAGCCTCTGCCTTCAGCTCAGGTCATGATCACAGGATCCCTGGATCGAGCCCCGCATTGGGCTCTCTGCTCAGTGGGGAGCCTGCTTCCCCCCCTCTCTCTGCCTGCCTCTCTTCCTACTTGTGATCTCTCTCTTTCTCTCTGTCAAATAAATAAAATCTAAAAAATTTAAATTATATATGAAATACAGTTCCACTAGTTGGGGGGGGGGAGTGAAAACGTTACCCTTGGAGCAAATTATTCATTGAAAGGAAAGACCATAGCATGTATATTTCAGATTTATTCCCAAGCAGCTAGATCATCTGTTAAGAAGCAAGGACTACTGGATTAGCTACAAACTACCTCCAGTATATTTATGGAATATATCAAATCTGAGAGGATCTAATCTACCAACACAAAATGCTTGGATAGGATAAATTATTTCTGGATACATCTCTAGTGCTCCACAGACATATATCATTACTTACGTTGGAAACAGAGGTGGTAATCATACTACTCTGAATTCTAAAACATGTCTCTTCAAGGTTCCTGTCCCTTCGTTATTCCCCCAAATGCTTGGTACTGCTGATCACATGTTGTTAGCAGAATTAAATTTACGAATCAGCTGACCTTAAAATAGAAAGATTGTCCTAGATGATCTAGGTGGACCCAAAGTAATCCTAAAGCCCTTAAAATCAGGATAAACAGGAAGAAGTCAGATCTGTGAGACTTCAAAGCTATGGGATAGGAAGTCAGATTCCAAATATGAGAAAGATACAACACACTAAGAAGGTTCTGAGATATTGACATCAACAGGTAAGGACCAGAGAGAAAGGATTTTAGAGCTAAAGCTGACTCTTAGCTAAAAACAAACAAGGACACAGGAGCCTCATTCCTATGGCCATCAGGAATCAGATTCTGTCTAAAAAGAGAGCTTGGAAGTCAAATCTCTGTAAAGCCTTCCAACAGGATCTCAGCCTGCCAACACCTTGATCTCAGCCTTGTGAACCTTGACTAAAGAAACAGACCCAGCCAACCCAGGTTTCTGAGCTACAGAACTAGGCGATAATCTACTGGCACTGTTTGAAACTGCTAAATTTGTTATGATGGCAAGAAAAAGGAAAACAGTACTCAAACGTAGAAACATATTTGTTCTAATAGTCAACCCAGGAAATGACGTGCCCAGGTTGTGATAAAATAAATACAGAGAATTCAGGAGACCAATAGGGCAGAGGTTGGCAGACAATGGTGTGTGGACAAAATTCATCCCCACTACATGTTTTGTATGGTCTGGGAGCTAGGAGTGGTTTTTATATTTTTTTAGTGGTTGGGGAAAAAAATATCAAAGAACAGTATTTCATGACATATGAAAATTATATGAATTCTATTCAGATTTCAGGATCTGTAAGTCAAGTTTTATTGGAATATAGCCATGCTCATTTGTTTATGTATTATCTCTGGCTGCTTTTCCACTATAAATGCAAGGTTGAGTATTTTTAGCAGAGACTGCATGGCCTTCAAACTCTACAATATTTATTCTCTGAAATTTTAGTTTTTAAAAATTTGCCAACCTCTGCAAAAGGACAGAGTTTACACACAAAGAAAAAAACAAGGGAAATAATATAAATCAGTGATTGAAAACGACCCAATAGTGGCATACCAAAATCGCACTCGTGGTTTTTGTTTGTTTTGTTTTTTTAATCTTTCTGGGATATGGGGTGAGCTGGATAGCATACCAACAGCAGTTTCATATGTGACAGTGAAAAGTGGGTCACCACCTGTCTACATGTCCCAGGAAATGGTCCTCCATATTGTCTTTACAATATATGCCTAGAGCTGCTGCCAACACCGAACACAAATAAGATCTTCCCAGAATTGTTAGTCATTACCTCTTGCTATCCTTGTAAAAACAATAACTATAATCCTTGTATTTGCTCAACTCAGATGGGCACTTGAGTCATTTGTCATTTCAGAACTCTGGAAAACATCAGAATAAGCTCTTAGGAGTGTGCCTTTGCCACGTTCTCTGATCCTAGAGATAGATGGGAGTCTTGCTGGAAGAATGGAGAACCGATACGGAGGGAGTGTATACCACGTACCAAGGAATGTGCTAGGTGCTTAATACAGATCTCGAATCCTTACTCTAAGCCATGAAGTAGTTATTATTATTCTCTCTTTCAGATGAGAAAACCAAAGCTGACAAGGGTTTAATAACTTGCCAAAGGTATAAAGGTATTATGACAGAAACGGGATTTATACTGAAAGCTCATACTCTTTTTACATTTGGCTAAACTGCCAGAAAAGAACACATAGGTGCCAGCTACAAGGCTTTAAACAAAGATGAAAACATAGAGAAGTGAAGGAATAATACATAGCATTTCATATGATGGGCTATGATTACACACAGGTGTGCATACACACATCCACACATGGACCCTAGGGATAGAGTGAGAGGATATAAAGGGGGGTGAAAGAGGAAAGAAAATAAACATGACACCTACTGTGAAATTTATATCCCTCTCTGTCACATCATCTAATATTTGAAAAATACAAGGCTTGGAATATATTTGGTGTTTCCCCTAGAACATACTCTGAAGAATGAGTTTGACTGAAACTAAGTGAGTTACACTCATTATTTGTCATTAATGATTATTTAATATTCAGAGTTTTCTAGGCCCTACTTTTTTTTCAAGGTCAAACTCCTTGGACTTCAAACTTTCACTTGGAAGCGTATTTAAATGTAAAGTCAAGTTCTCCTTAGATTTATAGAGGGAAAATATGTAATCTTGCCCTTAAGAAAAGAAAGAAAATAACTAAAACATTCATTTCCTGGTTATCTTCCATGAGCTACCAGAGATATCTGAGATAAGACATGTTTATTAGATATGCTGAGATAGGAAAGAAGTTTCCTTCCTGTTATTCATAAGGAAACTAATAAGAATTTTTTTACAAATTTACTCATTACATATCAAATATTTATTGCATTCCTACTATGTACTAGGCCTTCTGTTAAGGCTAGGAGTAAAGATGTCAATAAGACAAACAAGGACCCTGGCCTTATGTAGAAGACAGTCTATATTTTTTCTTTTTTTCCAAACACAAAATTTGAAAAACAAATCCCTAGATACATTATGGTAAAACGGCAGAACACTCCAGAAAAAGAGAACATCTTACAGATAGGTAGAGAGGAAAAAAAATCTCCCAAATTACATACAAAGAAATGACAATTAGATGATAATTAGATGATAGTTGACTTTCAATAGTAATAATGAAATACAGAATCTATCCAGTCAATGATATCTTCAAAGTACTGAAAGGAAATAACTACCAACCTAAAATTGTGTATACAGAAAACTACTGTTCAGGAATGAGGATAAAATAAAAAAATTTTCAGCAAATTAAAAACTGAAATGATTTATTGTCAACAGAGTTTCACTAAAGG